AGGGAGCCAGGGCAGCCAATGGGAAAACTCAAAGCTAAGAGTCAAAAACAGAGCCTGTAAAACTAGGGATCTGATACTGATGGGGCCTATTCTTTGGCTCTGTCCCCTTGATCATTCTTAGGATCTCAAGACCTGAGATGGCAGAGAACCTGAGCAGATGATGCAGTGTTTTTCTGGCAGTAGAAAACAGATTTCAGAGCCCTGCTCCAGAGGAGAAATGCATCTACTGCATATGGTTAGTTTCATTGCTCCACTAGAGCACCAGGAAAGATGTGTCAGCTTGTCTAATGATACAACTCCCCAGTTGCGAAACGTTAGGAAGAACAACCTTCAGAACACAGCCAAAACCCACAACAATCCCCAGTTGCTGTCTGGAATTTTTGGTCCATGTAATGGATTTTGTCATCTGTTCTAAGTAAAGGCTCAAGTGAGGAGGAATGAAGTGGATCAGACCCAGGGTAGAGCAGGTGCAGGACTATGGTCTGTACTGTACAGGAGCCAGCCAGTGCAGAATTTTGTCATCCATTCCAAGCAAAAGGTTATGGTTCAGGACCACAGAGATGGCTCTTGGAAAGACAATGGAGTGTAGATGGCTTACTCCAGCACTGACCAGGATCCACTAAAACAGTGGTCCCCAACCTTGGGCTGGAGAGGGCTCTTGGAAAGACAATGGAGTGTACAGTAGATGGCTTACTCCAGCACTGACCCGGATCCACTGCAACAGTGGTCCTCAACCTTGGGCCTCCAGATGTTCTTGGACTTCAACTCCCAGAAATCCTGGCCAGCAGAGGTGGTGGTGAAGGTTTCTGGGAGCTTTAGTCCAAGAACATCTGGAGGCCCAAGGTTGGGGACCACTGTTTTAGTGGATCCTGGTCAGTCATGAGGAAGAAGATTGAATGTGTGATTTTTTTTTGTAAGATCTAGACTGCTGTAGTTACTATTCCTACATTTACCACTGTCTTATGTCCGGAGCCCCGTTTTAGTCAAACCCCCTCCCATTCATTCTAACATGAACAGGAAAGTAAAGATTTTTAAATCTTTGGAAATGTCCATAGCGGCAGGCCTTTTCATCCCTTTGCAGCAGAAGCAACAAAGAATCTTAAAAGATATGTAAAGGTTTCAGGTCAGAGAGTCCGATACCTGAACATCTCCCTAAGAGCCTTACAGAACTTTATAGATCTTTAGAACAAATCTGGAGTCTGCATTCATCACAGCTGGCATTTATACTAGGTAAGGGTTAATACCAGAATACAACCAGACAATGGTTTCCAGTCATATCAAAATTCATCTATCCAGGTAAAAGTTGCTTCATTGTTGCAATAATTACGGGCAACATCAGCTTGTCTATTTCTACTAGCCTTATTCATCTTTTATGTTCCACAAGCACAAAAATAGTTCAAAGTTGGTTGTTGTTGGTTTTTCGGGCTCTTTGGCCGTGTTCGGAAGGTTGTTCTTCCTAACGTTTCGCCAGTCTCTGTGGTCGGCTTCTTCAGAGGACAGATTAGATCCCGGCCGTGAAAGCCTTCACAAATACATAGTTCAAAGTTGTTGAAAAAATCCAAAAATCTTGCAGCTATGGAAAAACTGTAGGCACAAATGCTTAAAAATATATCAAAACTCAGCTAAGGTTGCAGGCAAATACTTAAGTCAGACTTCAATTCAAAACATGAGAATTCATTGTCGGCGTCATCATCATCATCTTAGAAGTGCAGAGGTGGAAGGGATCCTGTGAATCATTGGGCCCATCCCCTGTCAAGGAGGCATGGGGAGGGAGGGAATTGAACTCTCAACTTCTGGCTCTGCCATTGAGCTATCTGACAGTGTTTTACTGTAACTCCATTTTAAAAATGTAGTTTGTAGCCTAAAAACCACTAGAAAGCAGAGAATACGACTCTAATAAACATAATTAAAAAGTAAAAAGTACAATCTCTTTAAGCAGTCATTAATCTTTAAGCATATTACTATACTGGACACGCATGAAAAATATTCTAAGTGCACACCTAGCCAAGGGAGTTTGAACCTATGGAAGAAAATCCATATTGCTCTTACCTGTTCCGAGGTACTGCTGTGAGCTGTACTGCTACATGTTGCTGCTCTTTGATATCTGGTACCCAGTAATTGGTATCTGGTGTATGCATGGCATGTGTGTTGTGTGCATTTGTCTCTGCCTCACAGTATTTTTATTTCCCTCTGTTGTTTCCATTCCCCTTCTGCAGTTAACTACTAAATCTTGCTGCTGTGGCACCTTACTGATCGCTTTTGGTCATAATTTTTTTCAATGGAATTCTCTATTGCTTTTACTGGGTTGGCAGAATACGACTCTCATAACTGACGAGGCTGGCAAGTTGCCCCATAGCAGATAACAGTTACCCTGGTGCCTCAACATTCGAACTTAATGTGTTCTGGAAGATGGGTGTAAGTCGAAATGGTCGTAAATTGAAGCACCATTTCCCATTGAAATGCATTGAAATGCAATTAATCCGTTCTGGCTGAAGAAAAAAAAATCACCCCAAAAAAATCACTGCAAGACCCATCAGAAATGCAATTACTTAAAACCCTTCCAGCCCGGGGGGGGGGGATAAAAGCAAGCAGAGCATGCAAGACAGATCAGAAATGGGGAAGAGCAATGCAAAAAGCAAATGAAGCATGCAAGACAGATCGGAAATGGGGAAAGAGCAAAGCACCAACAAACAGACCCCCCCAAGACTCATCGGAAACGGGGGGAAAACACTCCAAAAAGCAACCAAACCCCCAAGGCCCATAGGAAATGGAGGGGAACAAGAAAAAACAAACCCCCCAAAACCCATCACAGCACAGAAACATAACCCCCCTAGCCCAAAACCACGCTCCAAAAACACCCAGAACAGTTTTCAAGAAGCAGAAAGCCGTACCTTATCTTACCTTATCAGGCAGTCCAAAGCCTCCTTAGATCCCACACTCTAACTGCTGGGGTGAAAGAACTACAAAGAAGCAGCCTCCTCACCACCTACAATTAAAAATTTGAATTTCCTGCCTTTCCCCCCTGCCTTTTTCTGTTCATAAGTGGAAGCTCCGGTCACAAGTTGAAGCAAAATTTTTTCCTCCGGAGCTGGTCGTAACTCATAATGGTTGTAAGTCGGGACGGTCGTAAGTCGAGGCACCACTGTATTATTTTGACAGAACAGGCCCCTGCACCCGTTGGAATAGGAGGTTATTTGGGTTGCATTCTACTGGGTAGACAAAATGCTATGGGCATAAACTGCTGGTGGTACTGTTGGTCAGGTACCAAATTGCTCTATCTGCATTTTAGGACTCTAGAATTTTTCCTCTCTCCTTTGATTCCTATTTCTTATCCTTGGCTTACACATTCAACTGTCAGCGAGATCCTTCGGCTAGGCAATGCTAATATACATTGACCATGCTTCCAGACTTGGCTGGAGAGCTTGCTGATTGTTTTGCTGCGGCATTTAGTAACAAGTTGTTCAAACATCATTTTTAAAGCACAGTGATCGCTTTCAGGATTGCATTTTTTTTTCTACATCTGCCTTTCATTTTTTAGCATCTTATATATGCAAAATTCCACATCATGACAAAAAACTAGGAGGTTTTGTGGATAACAGCCTCCTTTCTCAAATGCAAAGGCTTGGAAACGATTCTGTATCTCTTTTGATAAATTATCTATTGTTGGATAGGCACACTTGTGTTTACAAAAGAAATAAGAGTTTTTGCTATTATTTGTAATGCTTGGAGGAATATTTAATAATATTGTAAATAAGAATGGTACAAGACTTCCCCCCCCCTGTTTTTCTGCTTTCCCTTTTCAAAAATTGGATCTGCATTGTCCATATGCATAGTCTGATGGGTTAAAGTTACATATTGTCCATTTGAATAAAACTGTAATGGAATATTCTGTATATTGAAATAATCTGGTTCATTACACAGTTTGTGTAGAAACTTCACAACACAAAATTTTACACGTTAAGTATGTCTATTTGCTTGATCAGCTATCTTGCTTATTTTCCAATTAGTCGTTACAAAATGGATGGTATAACCATGGTGTCAATTTCTTGTTTTTTGATAATATGGATAAGATTGGATGATGTGAAAAACCTTGAGCAGTGGTGCTGTTGACATCATTTATCTTCATTTCAAGAGTGAAATATCTCTTTTTTAAGTTTATTATTAATTCTGCTGACTTGCTGTACTCTCTGATGCAGAAGATAGCGGGTGGGATTGCTGCTGGTTAAATGCTTTCTCTGCATCCCGAAGCATTCGCAGGTATTCGCAGGCAAAACCTTTAGCCATTATTTTATGGTTGCTCGTACAATGCTATACAGTGGTGCCTTGCTTGACGACGATAATCCGTTCTGTTGAAATCGCTGTTAAGCGAAATCGTCATCAAGCGAATTAAAAAAACCCATTGAAATGCATTCAAAACCGTTAAATGCGTTCCAATGGGCTAAATACCCGCTCGTTTTGCAAAGATCCTCCATTTTCTGGTGCCTGTAAAGTGAAGAATCCATCCTAAAGCACAGCAGGGAGCCATTTTGCACAGTGAGCGACCATTTTAGAGCCGCTGATCAGCTGTTTCAAAATCATCGTCTAGTGAAAGATCGGTTCCCGAAGCAGGGCACTGATCATCGTGAAGCAAATTTTTCCTATTAGAACATCGTTTTGCGATCGCAAAAACCTCATTGCCAAGCTGTTTCGTCGTTTAACAAGGTAATCGTTAAGTGAGGCACCACTGTATTCAGTTAATTTTATTGTTGCGTTTAAAGAACTCTTTGTTTATTTCTGTATTTCTCTGCTGTGTATATATGTTTTTATAATGATACTTCTGTTTTGTCTTAGCCATTATTTTTATGGATGCTTGTACAATGCAATATTCAGTTAATTTTATTGTTGTGTTTAAAGAACTCTTTGTTTATTTCTATATTTCTCTGCTGTATGCCACTGTGAGCATTTGAATTTTGTCTTGTAAATGTTTTTATAATGATACTTCTGTTTTGTCTCATGCAGGGATGGGCTGCTTTTGGGGGGCAGAGAGGAAATTTTGGAGGCAGAAAGGAGTCTACTCAACTCAGGTTGGGTATGCAGGAGGACACACCCCACACCCCACATACCAAGAAGTTTGTTCAGGTAGGTCTGATTCTTTCATGAACTCAAAGCCCTTCATTGAAACAGTGTGATGTTAGCAAACACAAAATGCTATATAGGAGGTTGAATAGTTTGTACAAATCGGGTTATTGATATATAGTATGAACGGATTGCTTCCTTGTCGTGGTGAAGGGGCTTGAGTAATTCAGAGAAGCTATGGGCTATGCCATGCGGGGACACCCAAGACGGACAGGACATAGTGGAGAGTTCTGACTCAACGCGATCCACCTGGTGGCTCTATGGGTTAAACCGCAGAAGCCTCTGTATGGCTCTACAGGTTAAACCGCAGAAGCCTCTGTGCTGCAAGGTCAGAAGACCTGCCATTGTAAGATCAAATCCATGTGACGGAGTGAGCTCCTGTCACTTGTCCCAGCTCCTGCCAACCTAGCCATTCAAAAGCATGTAAAAATGCAAGTAGATATATAGGTACCACCATGGTGGGAAGGTAACGGCGTTCCGTGTCTCATCGCGCTGGCCATGTGACCACGGAAACGGTCTATGGACAAACACTGGCTCTATGGCTTGGAGACGAGGACGAGCACCGCACCCTAGAGTCGGACACGACTGGACTAAATGTCAAAGGGAACCTTTACCTTACCAGCCACAGAAAGAGAAAGGAGACAAAAAGGAGCCATAGGAAAGGAGAGAGAGGAAGAAACAAAGGGCTCATAGAGAAAGAGAGAGAGAGAGGAACCAGAAAGAGAAGCAATCCGTATGCCTATGAAAAAAAGTGGCTTTCAAGTCAAGTTCTTTTCCTAGAGTTCTGCTGTTGTCGTTACGTTGCTTCTGTCTTAACGGCAGCTGTAACGAGGTTTTTGAAGCATGTGAGGAGTTCAAGGAATGATTTGCCTTTGTAACTCTGGCTGAATTTCCGAAGCCATGTTGGGATTTGAATCCAGCTGAGTCCTAGCCTGGCACTCTATCCCCTACACCAAACTGGCTGTTTTTCATTTAGGTCAAATTGGGTCAAATGTTCTTTCAGACTCAACAGCGGGGCGCAGTACATGTGGGCAGATGAAGTGCCAGTTCCACATATAAGTATGATTGTTCCATCACAGCACCTGATGATGTCAGATTTTCCTGCTCGAACAGAGGATTTCGAGCATCCAAATTGCTTTGTGTCTGAAATATTTGAACAACTTGTCAAAGAAGCCATGAAGATGGCTTTATGTTTGGGTGAAAAGTAGTTGGATGACGGGGGGGGGGGGGGGGGAAGAAGAGTCAGATTCTGGGATGTTCTTTGTGAATGAAAATGAGCACAAAATGGGGACACGGTAGATAATCTCTTGCGAACTTTCAGACTGGCCTTTGCAATACAAAGCTTGGCATCCTTTTTCCTGGCAATGTCAGTGCAATGTTGCAAGGCAGCGCTGGACCTTTTGAGAGATGCAATACCCCACATGTGTTTGGTAGCGCCTTTGCAATACAAAGCTTGCCATCCTTTGTCCTGGCAAGGTAAGCGCAATGTTGCAAGGCAACGCTGGACCTTTTGAATTGCATTCAAAGATGCAATACCCCACATGTGTTTGGTAGCGGTTTTTTGAAAATTGAGTAGGTCGTCTAAAGATGAAGTGTTTTGTCATCAGATGCCACCAAATAGCTACTCTAGTAAAAACTCTTACCTGAAAATAAGATCCTCCTTATCTTATTAGCAGAATCAGTAATTAAGATTATGCACATCTTGTGTTCTGTGGCAGGACAGATAGCATATTGCCTTAAACTGAAGGAGTAATTGGGCTGCTCAGATTTCTGGAGCTGATAAACACCCTGGTGGAGAATTATTTATACATCCCAGTAAATTGTCCTGCAGATGCAAATATGAAAAGGCATTTGCAATGGATAAGTGTTTTGAGCTATTTCCAGTGTATTTGACTCAATACACAAATACACGGTTTCTGGCAAGCATTATGTGAATCTCGTGATGTTCATTCACTAGGAAATATCTCCTCATAGTTTGTGTACAGATGTTCAGAACAATCCTTTGCTTATCAGTATATTCATAAGCGATTTGAAATCTGCCCATCTCAAGTGGAACTGGAATCTGATGGAGGGGGAAAAAACTGCTGGATCGTTCATCAGCTGCTTCCTTGCAATTACCTCCCTTCCCTTCCCACCCACGCACACTACACACTTTTTTTGAAATCAGAATGTTTCTACATTATATTTCTAATTTAGACTTGAATATGTAACCATGTAATTTTCTGGAATTCAATGTAGCTTTCAGAAAAAGTAATTATATGGGGGAACATGTGCTTTAAACATTATTTATTATCTAGTCATGTTACTCGAAAAGTCATTTGGTTGACCTGTGTTTAATTGAGTCATCTTCTAATGCTTTTTCTCAACAGCTGTCAGTTTATCTTTTAATATGCGTGAGTGATCTTTGGAAATTAAATATAATTTAAATGTATGCAGCCTGCATTTAGCTTTGTTGCCATGATACCTACAATGTTGTTTGACAAATTATGCTGGTCACACAAATAGGTTTGTTAAACAGGGGATTGTTACATACAGCACTGATGTTACCTGTCTGTCATGGGTTTGGAGGGAAAGTTCCATCCTATGGAGAGTGGAAGGCGGGACATCAGGAGGAGGGGCTGTACTGTATAAATATGTGATGCCTGTGTGGTGAGACAGGGAGATGCTGAGAGACACTGGGTTGTGACGAAGCAGCAGCTGGGAAGAAGAAGCTGTTGTGGGAGTCTGTGTGTCAGACAGGGTACTTCTGTGTGTCAGAGTACCAACCTGATAGGTTCAGGTGTCTGTTGGTTAGCCAGAACTGATAGGTTCAGGGTCTGTGCTTCAAGTTAAGGGTTCTGGGTGAACCAAACTGTATGCTTGTATGAGTGAGAATAAGCCACGTTACTTTATCCTATTCACCTGATTGTTTATTTTTCCCTGTGTGTATTTAAATAAACCTTATTCTTTTTATTGTTTAAAAATCCATCCCTGGTCTGTGTGACTTCTTAAAGGGAATGGTTGGTGGCAGCTTAGTGTAACTGTGTGACATATCCCAGTAGGTCTGGGTTTGTCACATTGATTGGTGTCCAGCGTGTGGGATACGACTGGTCCAGTTGTCCAGCGGTCCAGCAAAGCCTTGGCAAGTGTGCCCAGAGCAAGGGGGGTCTAGTCAGGGACAGTCTGAGGCGCGTAGGTAATCTTCTAGGTGTACCTCACGGGGAGGTGCGCTAGTAGAAGAACGTGCCAACTGGGGAGACTTAGATTAAGGTGCTCAGAGGCAGCCTAGTTTTGGCGGGAAAAAGCTGAGGAAAAACTGCGTAGCAACAGCGAGCTAGCTTGCCAGCTGAGAGGCCCAGCAGAGGGGGGTAGGCTCTGACTCGATACTGTTGCAAGTAGTGCTGAAGAACAGCAGCAATCTCTAGGGAGAGCTGGTTCTGAGGCAAGAAGGAAAAAAGTGGTCGTTTTATTTTGAGGCTTGACTTTTAAAGCAGCCTGTTCTGAGGGGGGATTATGCCCTTGACTCGAAGCCAGATAGCAGACATGGGTGAAGTGAAAGACCCCCAGATTGACCAAGGTTCTGAGGATGAATTTGGCTCAGTGCAGCATCTGGAGAATGAGTTTTTTTATCACTGTATTATCTTCATACCCATTCCACTGATTATCTGGCAGTTTTTTTTATAATTTATTTATGACATGTTGATATCCTTTCTTCTTTGAATAAAACAAAGCAGATAACAATTTTAAAATAAATATGCAGAAGCAGGAGGGAAATGTAATAAAAGTAGCCATTCAGTAGAAGACCAACATTAGTTGGTTTATAAAAGTCATTCTAATAACAAACAAAATTCACTGTTGTTGTTTAGTCGTTAAGTTGTGTCCAAATGTTTGTGACCCCATGGACCAGAGCACGCCAGGCCCTCCTGTCTTCCACTGCCTCCCAGAGTTGGGTCAAATTCATGTTGGTCGCTTCGATGACCCTGTCCAACCATCTCGTCATCGAGTCTTCTCTTCTCATGAGATGGCCAAAGTCTTGGAGCCTCAGCTTCAGGATCTGTCCTTCCAGTGAGCACTCAGGGTTGATTTCCTTCAGAATGGAGAGGTTTGTTCTCCTTGAAGTCCGTGGGACTCTCAAGAGTCTCCTCCAACACCACAATTCAAAAGCATCAATTCTTCAGCGGTCTGCCTTCTTTATGGTCCAGCTCTCACTTCCATAAAGCCAGTCATTTCATGTTGCCTCCCTGAAAAGTAGAATCCATAGCTGGCTTGTCTACAGGTACATTTGACAGAAAGCAAGATGGATGAAGTTAATTGACTATTTTTGTGATAGGGATTTTCAGCAAGTTGGATAATTAGAATTCCTCACCAAATCTTGCAAGATCTATAGCAAACAAAAATCCGTTAGGAAGATGGCATTGCCAGTATGAAAATTTTACCGTTATTTGATACTCTTACCATAGGGCATCAGGGACTTCAATGAGGAGGGGAATGTTGGGAGAAAAACCATGTTCCAGTTCCCAGGAAGCTCTGAGTGGCCCAGGAAATAGGGAGAAATTATGGAAGTTGTCTAAAAACATCTGGACGGCCACAGCTGCTGACTCCTGTTTTGAGCACTTGTGTGTAAATAGCATAGTCACTGCCATGGGGGAGACAGCAAGAGAAAAAAATCTGAGGTCTTTCCCCCAAAGGAATGCATGGCATATCCCTTGTCTGGTTCCTCCTTCTGAGCTGAATGATAAAAAAAATAAGCAGTTTAAAGTCTCTTCCCTTTGGATATTCGGACTTTCAGCTGTCAGACAGAGATATAAGATGGGAGTGAAAGACACAACTTGGTTGAGACATTCTTACACCTTGCCAGATGTTTCTAGTTTTCTATCATGCTTTCGTACCACAATGAAACTACAAATATTACCCTTCATTTTTTGGTAGCTTCTAAGACCGCTTCTCTGAAGGTGATCAGAAGACTGAAGTCTTCAGAGAGCAATGAGAATGGTTCAGAACATTTCCTTTTATTGGTTCAAGCC